GCACAATGGCTAATTATAAGAAGTTTTCTTCAAGCATGGACAAAATCTTGTCAGTACACTGTCCTTTAAATCAGTTGAATATAACAAGTGCAGGATGGTTATCTGGTATAGATAGCCTTTCTAGTTTCTTCAACATAAGGTAAAAGTATCAGTTCAATATAATTCTTTGTTGTCCCTTCATTCGCCCAATGATTCTCTGTGTGGGTGACATGCCGCATATCTGGAAATTTCACATGGGGAAAACATTTTTTCGTCTTTCCAGCATACACGACTTGTGGTGAAAGAAATTTTCCAGATTTAGTTCCAGCAAGAACAACAGTAATTTTGCTGTTTATCATCCACACCAGCTATTGCTACTCGTAAAGAACCTTCTTTTGCCAAAGTCCAGTTACCAACTGGAATGTAATTAAGGCCTGTGTGGTCCCAATTAATTATTAAATTCAACGATGGTCTGAAGATCAAAAACAAACTGTTCTTTACATGCATTGAACTCAGCAACACTAACTTTAGATTTTGTATTGGCTCTTCTCTTAACATAGCCCATATGACGTAGAAAACTTTTGGCCCATGACTTATTACAGTGTATATGCCTTCCATTTTCTTGTAACAAATTTGCATCATAATTTTAAACAATTGCTATGGCTCCAGCTCTCACAATTGCTGAGTTAATTACACCTCCATTCCCTCTCAATGCTGTAATTTAACTTTGTACTTGAGCACCTAATTCTTTCCCCAAATGTAGAGGAGGTCCCTTTCTCTCACCACTTAACTTGGCTACTGTCATATCATCAGAAAGCATTTTTTTTGTGCCAGCTCTTTCTTATAAATATTGCTCCATGTACGTACTGTGCTCTCCTTCAAAAGACAGTCACTAAACTCTTCTTTGAAAAACCTGATTGTGCTTGTTACACCAATTTCTGCAGTTTTTTTTCCAATGTTCAGTTTCTTTTATATATGTGGTATCTCCCTCGTTTACCTAATTCCTTTGATTTACTGGGCTCCAATGGTGGTTCCACTTTGTTGGCTCCTTTAATAGCTGCTCATGGCATGTGATGGCTAAGTTCTCCATGAAGACTAGGAAGACTAGCTTTCTTGAAGTACTGGTAAAGACTCATTTTTCTACACGTGATTGGGCGTGACTGATGGGGTGTGACCAGTCATGCAGATTGAATAATTATTGCCCACTCTACATCTAAAATTTTGAAGTTCTATTTTTTGCAAACGGTGACCGCAACCATGAAATTCGCGAAGTATAATTCCCTTGAAAAATAGGACCCATAGGGTATCATTTTTTGACGTAATTCATTGTCACCCAAAGGTCATCCGCATACACAGTCATTACAAATGGCTCTCCAGTGATAGAAATGTAAAGCACTGATTACTGTTTGACTGCGCAAATCCCATCTTCTTTTGTTGTGAATTTAATGTATAGTTCCAAAAACGGGGATTGATTAATACCATAAATGCTGTATTTTAATCTACATGCTTCATACCCATCTGGCTCTTTTATGTGGACTGTTTCTTTCACCTCACCATTAACAAGGCAGTTTTAGCATTTATTTCTATAACCCGTTTCGTTAAATTAATGATTTTATGCACTCTTAAGTTAAAATTTATCATTATTTCAAGGACAAACACTTCTAATTTCTAGTACATTGACCTTTGTGACCCACCCAAGAAAATGCAATATATCATGGAAAAGAACATATAATTTGTATTGGCCAACTACCTTTTGTAAATAAAACTCTAAAATTTATTATTTATTGTAATTCTTGCTATTGTTATAATAATTATAGTAGTAGCAATAAGTTTCGTTCTACAATCAGTTAACTGATTAATCGTCACTTATTAGTGACCAGTTAACCTGTTATGTTAAAGGGCACAGGTTCACAGCTCCAAGTGTAACGTCATTACTTACAGGGCTATCATCTGGTATGTTTTCTTCTAACACCGTTAGTGATTCTTTGACTGACTGATACTGTGATAATTTAAGTTTGAACTTCAATTTTTCAATTCCCTCTGTTTACAGTCTTCTTGATAATGACCAAATCTCTTACACTTCTTATATGATGAAATCATTGATCCTTCAGTCGAACTACTCTTGTTACCTGTGTGATTCTTGCTCTTTGTATACCAGCTTCTCTGGGATTGTGTCCATCTGGTCTAGCCTCCAGCACTGTGATTATTGTACTATAGGAGCCAGTAATACTTTAAAGTAAGTGTACTACTCTGTCCTCTTCTTATGTTTAATTAGATTAATATATTTTCTGTATTTATTTCTTCAAGTGGACTTGTTGAATGTTGCAACTGCTACCAATACTAGATCACAAAGTTGGGGTCTGTTGCTGGAAACACTACTTGATGATGGTGGCCAATAATCTTTGGTAGTCAGTGCCATCTAGTCCTTGTTCCTGGGCTTGTTTCCTGTGAAGTAGTGAGGGCTATACCCTTGCCACTATCACTTATAGCCTGCCTGGCAGCATTATTGACTGTTTCTGTTAGGCTGTTGGACAGATTTTCAAAATATTTAAAATATGTACAATTATTACTTTGAGGCAATTATGCCATTTCTCTTCTTGCCATGCTTTCTACGTGTGCTTGTAGGTTAACTCTCTCGCATTGCTATTTTGAATGTTTTCATGATGCATTGTGCTAGTGATTGAGCCATGAAAAGTAGGGGGCCATTATATATTTTCAAATCTTATAAAATCCGGCTGCCAGGGCACCTCCTTTTATACTGTGATTGACGGATGATCTGTTTATAGCTTTATAGTACACCTTTTAGTTTAACTTACATCTGACAATTGGTTTACACAGGACTTCTAGGATCTTACCATTTAAGTGTAAATCAGTTTTAAGGCTAGTGATGCGAAGACTATCCACACAGTCATATTAAAAAGAATTAGACGAAAAAAGGAAGCAAGCAATAAAAAAGAAACATTAAATACAATTTGTCAACAAAATAAGGGAAAACTTGCAAATCTATTTGGCTAGATATCCTACAGCATTGCATTAAGAATATTGTCAAAAGAACCATGGCTTTATTATTATTTTTTCTAACATAATATTTTGTGTGGCCATTTTTTAACCTGTTCTTAAAATTTTATTGTTGTAAATTTACTGTTATCTTCATAGCTAAACTTCTGCTACTGCATATTAATATGGCACACTTGCCAAAACAGCGAAAAAACAAACGAACTCGTATTGGTAAGAAAATGAAAGGAACTGCACTCCATTTATTATTCATGTCTTTATGTGTAGGTGATGATGATGATGATTATGGTGATGGTGATGGTGATAATGTAGATTCACAGATGGAATCGGAAAATGAATTGGTAATTTATTACGTAAGTACATAGAATTGTGCCTGTAACAGTACTTTTATGTTCCCTTGTGTAGCTGCTTATTTAAAGAATGATTTCTTTCTTTCATTAAGAAATGTACATGTAAAGTTCAAAACAGGAATTAACAAATTTGATTTACCATGCCTATCGTGAATAGGAATATAAGTTAATAATTAGTGATGTGTCGTTCATGCCATTTGTGTTTCTTATTGGCTAAGCTATGAAATGAACCCTAGCTATGCCACTGGGTGCAACATACAGTATGCAGTAGTATTTATTTATGAAAATATAATAAATAAATGCTAACTCTGCATGGTCGTATGGTTGCTATAACAGCTAAGTCCAGCACAGTCATTAAATCAATATGTACACAAAATTAGATCATGCATGTAATTACATCACAGTTCAATTTGAAAACAAAAACAATTTTCTACCGCTTGAATTTCGTGATTCAAGTTTTTTGTCTATTTTATAGTGGAACAGAACAGATTGGGACACTTCCTATAGAAAATCCCGTACTTTTACTATCTTTTCTAATAAAATGAACTACATATGAAAGCTCAGAGTTGTGTACTTTTACATTATACAAAATAGTTTTGATAGTGACATCCATTGTTTAAGTCTTAGCTGACACTACATATGTTACACACTCTTCATTTTCATTGGCAAACAAAACCTCTCATGTTTTCTTTTGTACACAGGTTAACTTTAGCAGATTGATAGAGGAAGAGCAACAACTTTCTGAAATCCAAAAGAGCATTAAAGATTTGGAGAAGAGCAAAAAAAATTTTCTAGAATCTGGATCTAATACACTCTTCTACGATGAACATCTTATAAAGGAGAAGAATTGAAATCTGTGAAAGAAAAGCAAAAGATGTTTTTTAATAGGTTTCATTTCAAAGTTAAGGCCTCCCAAAAGTTGTAAGAATATGCATGCACATCATACAGTACACTTTTAATTAATATTTAATAATACTATTAGTGTCATTGCCATCCACAGCATGTGCTATGCCAATAAATAAGGCAGCTTAGAGCATTTATTTTTGTTTTTACCCATCAACATTGTAATTTTTGACTACATCATTACCCATCTTTTTGTGTAATTAATACTGTTATTGTATTCTGAGTATGACAAAATACCTATGAAACACTGTGTGGTTACACTATTTTACCAATTAAACTGATTTCTTTTAAAAATAAGAAAAGAAGCTTTGGGCAGGATAAAACAGTCACCTATTACCAAACGACACCAGGTCCTGACTAATAAGCACTTTGTAGCTATCTATTGAGTGGGCATTATTAAATTGTATCTAGAGTACAGAAGCTAAGTAACTACTCTACCCTGCGTAGGTAGTTCATTGCTTTTTATTTGCTCATGCACATAGCCAACATGTTTTAATTGCATTGTAAAATTACAATGATACGAGTCCTGCACAACGAATTCAACTGTTTACATAAAAACTTCCACTGTTTAGGTTGACGCCTCTGATTTAGTTACTTTTAGCTTAATTGTTAAAGACAATTCGAATTTGTTTTGTGCATTTTGAAAAGCTGGAATAGTCCTAATAACGCTGCAAGCCTGCAAAAGTACTATCAAAATAGCTGTAGCTTTTATGTGTGCTCAGTTCATATTGTACAGGTTTGAAATTCTGTGGGCATTTAATTTCACAAATTTTGTCAGTGACTTCGTCAACATGAAACTTAATGTCATGGAAATGCTTACCCTACTTAAAGCAAATGCACTTGCATAAATGCAAAATTTAATCCCCTCAAAAGTAAAAAATTAAGACCTTTTCAATCACCCTTTATGTTGGAGTTCTTATGCAACAAACTTTTTTATAACATGTGAAAATAACCATCAGTCATACAAAAATATTAAATACAATAACTTTTTTAATTTTAATGGAAGTAACTTGGTTGTTTTCACTTTGTTGCATTTAATTACATAAATTTTAATTGGTTGTTTTGTACGGTGGATTTCTTTTACCCAGCGTTAGTTGAAGTACCAATTTTGGTCAATGACATAATTGCAGAAACCATTCCATCAGCTGTTTTGCCTCCTTTTTTAACACCACTTAGTGCTGCAAATTGTTCTACCCGTGGTGAATTCGTACGTGTTGGAGAAAGACCTGATACTTGCATATTCTCTTTTGAAACAACAGTTCCTGCAAGTCAAGCCTAACTATTAAACCATTTTTTTTAACACAGTAAAATTATACCAACTCAGGTTTTATCAGCAGAGTTGAAGATAACCACGCCAAGTATATGGTGCCCAAAAGCCTTGTTTCAGAATCTGATGCAAAAGAGATGTTCATTGCCAAATCTCACATTACTGATACTGTTGAATCTGCTTCTCCAGCAGCTATGTTCAGTGCCATTCTTACTAATATGTCTCAGCTGGATGAGGATGACGATACTGATTCTAGTGATAATGACGATGGCCAGATCCTATATGTGCAACCGGTAGAAAACACGCTCAATAAGCATTTGGAGACTTGGGTGAGAAAATGGTATAGTTACAACTTTGACATTACTGGCAATGTAGCTTTAATAGAAGAGTCAAAGTTGATGATCCATCAAATGTCAAGACGAGACGTCACTTTAATTCCCAAGTTTAGTGCCTTCTCTGCCATTTCAGTTACCATTGACGAAGGTGTGGCTAGAGAAATAAGTTGTGTAAGATAAGAGTCTATGGATTGATGTGCAACTATTTACATGCATCTGCTCATTTGTTATGCCTCATGTTGAACTTGCAGACACGAGTGTCGGCTGTCACTGAATTTTCTGAGCCACAAGATATTTGCTATCAATTTGCAGCTGCTATTTCATTAGTACAACAATATACAAGCCCTGCATGAACTTTACTTGTCTTGCTACGAAAAGATCGAACTTCATAAATTTTACTATGACAAATTAAGATAAATTATGTGTGCAATTTAATGATTTTTTACAGTGACAAGTTCTTTATGAGTGTGAGTCAGTAGAGCCCAATTATTATTATTATTATTATTATTATTGAACTTTACAACACAGAACACAAGGAAGTGATTAATAATAGTTAGGAGGTAAGGTTCACTGAGTTGAAGGAAAACAGTAAATGATACTGAAGACCTTAGGATAAAAAAAAATAGTTAATTACAGTATTACAACTACCAAAGTATTACAGTTACAACAGAAATGTGAAAATGAAGAGAGATAGAGAGAGATTAGTGGAAAGAGAGAGAGGAAAATAAAAATGTAATTAATTATGGTATAAATCAGATTTATGAAGATAGATTCCGGCATGAA